TGAGAAGCTTCGCATGGTTTCCGCACATGTGAAGTAGACAGGCAGCGTGTGACCCTGTCCAACCGTCACAAATTGTTGGATTGCCTCCTCGCGAAAGATGCGCTCCAACTCTTGTTCACGACTCTCAAGTTTTGCTCTGAGGTCCAAGCATTCTGTTGGATTGAGACCGGCCAGAACGGCTTGCGTCTGGAAACATCTTCCGAGCTCTGCAAGGTTATGATAATGTTTGACAAGCCTCATTCTTCGTTCTTTGACTACCTTTGCTCGTCGATCGTTTAGAGCACTGTTGAAGCCCGTTGGACCTCCTCGCTCTCGAACAGCTAGCACTCGCAGGTCCGACTCCCGATAGAAGCGCGTCTTGACAAAACCCAAAGGATGAGGAGCCCACTGAAGTGAAGAAAGGTCCTTGATTTGGTACTTTCGTCGGGCCTCTCCTGTGGTCAAGCAGTCGAGCGCGCGGTGCAAGCCAAAGTTTAAGCAACTAAGGCATATCGGCAACCCCTTATGAGGATGCAAAGGCCATCGCAATTCGGTCCACTCATTGTTGCATATTTTGCAACAGGCCCGAGGCCAGACGGATTCAAAATGTAGCGGACCAGATGCGACGCTGCTCGGAACGGGGAACTCATGCATCATAGTCCCGATAGCTGCCTGGGCATCTTTGCAGGTACATGCTGAAGCTGCCAAGTCCGAAAGTTTGAGCAAGCCATTCTCGCCGACCACGCTCAGAGCGGACGCAAACTTGTCGTTCAAAGCCATGACAGAGTAGTACAAATCATTTGATCTACTTTGAACGCGCGACCAAGATCACTCTTCCCCTCCATTCTTGCAGGAAGACGGCATCTTTAACTTTTCCGGCAACAACCTCGTCTCGCACGGCCTCAACTTGCGCAACCACTTTGCGGCAGCCCTGGGGGCGGCCCACAGCCTCAACTTTGAGGCAGGGGACATGGCGACGAAGTGCCTCGAGGGGCCGAACGTCCCTCGGCTGGACGACCGTGTGTTCGACTCGGCGATGCAAGCCTTCAACGACCTGGCCGCCCGGCCTCGGATCCAGCACGTGTGCTCGCGCGTCGATTGCGCGCACCTCTACACGTGCGAGGTGAAGGTGGCCGAGGCGGAGGCCCGGAGGGCTGGCAACCCCCTGAGGCCGGAGCGAACGGAGGGGTCGAGCTTTGAATTGGCCACGTACGCCTTTGGGCAGGACAAGGTCATCACCTTTGATGGGACCTTCTTTGCCAACTCGAGCGCAATGCAAGATTCCGGCACGGAAGCGTCCTTGCACAGCATCTGTGAGCCTGACCCGGAAGCGCCCAGGATTGCTGGAGGCTTTACTCCTCTGAGCGTGGGTGGTGTGCGTCCCTCTGACGTGCCGCTAGAGGGAATCGACTGCCCTTGGAAGTATCGCAATGGGTTGTCTGAGTTGCGGCCGGCTGTGCGTGCGCTTGCGCAAAGGTGGTGCAACTTTCGCAAGGCTCCGGCCCAAGGGAGCAACGCGCCTCTGAAGCCGAAGGGGTTTGTCGCCATGCGAGAGGGGCTTCCGGCAAACGTCGCTGCTCTGCTCGACCTTGTGATCGAGTCGGGAGCGTGTCGCGACCCTGCCACGTGTGCGATTTGCAAGGCGGTGCCGCGGCGGCCGTGGATGCAAGGGTTCCTCAAGGACGGGCCCGTGGGACCGACCGGCTGGTGCCCGACGCACTTTCAAGCGTACGAAGCCCTTCTTCACGCCCTGCTCATCCCTCGCTACTCCTGGGTGTTTGGGCGCGTCGTCACTCTGAAGCTGCAGAGACACGCGTTGCTCGAGGGGCCGCTCGACGAGCGGGGGTTGGCGTACCTCTCCAACGACGGCCCCATGTTGGCAGCCATCTTGCGTCTCCATCCCGTTGCCGGAGGGCTGTACGCCTTTCCGCCAACGCTCCGGTCGCTCGTTCGGGACATCTACGCCACGAACCTCCTCTGCTTCGAGCCGAGCGCAAACCGGCCCGGCCCGTCCTCGCGTTCACCTCTGGCCGCTCTCCATGATGCTACCAAGCATCTGTGGACAATCGAAGCCGAGAGGCTGAGGCTCATGGGCCAGCTTGAGGCGGCCGCAATGGAGTACGCGGAGCGGCAAGGGGCGGCATTGAAAAGGACCGCCAACTTGCTCTTGTTCGAGCTGGAGGTTCGCGAACCCCCGTGCTACCGCAATGGCGGGTTCCTTCAAGCGCCATCGGCGCTCTATAGAGAACGGGTCGAGGCGGTATCAACGTACGACTTCCACCCTCTGCTATACGGGCGGCCGCAATTTGTCGATTGGGAGGACGCTTTGGGTCGGGGGAGAAAGGGTTCCGAGGAGCGGCTCACCCTTGAACACTGCAGCGCCCCCAACCCTCGATCGTCAAAGGGGCGCGCGGGGATGTTCATCGCGTGCTGTCAAGACCGGGCCCCCTTGGGATACCACTGGCTGAAAGGTGGCGAATCCGTCTCGGACCTTGGAACAGTGCTCTTGACGCGGTTCCCATTCAAGACGCTGCGGGGGCTCACGATTGTGGAGGACGCCGCATGCAACGCCCAGGAGTGGTTTTTGAACCGGGTGCCGCAGTTGGCCAAGTTTATGTTGTTCGTCGTCGACCGCTTCCACTCGGGGCCGGTGAGCTGCGCACCGGCAGGGGCAAAGCGCTACGCAACGCACACGTGCGCGCCTACGCTCTTCATTGACTCCTTTCCGCAGCACGGCCATACGATTACAACGGCTTCGGAGGGGGTCAATTCTGGCCTGAAGCGATGTGCAGCTAGCCTCCAGCAGATCACGAGTATTAGGAGGTTGCTAAGCCGTGTGACGACCATACTTGACACGTTATTTGAACGGTCAAAGTACGCCGTCTATTGGAGCGAGGCTAGCTATCCGTTGACAGACTTGATCAGGCGGGCGCGTGGCTGAAGTGCGGCCTCATTACTCTATTACCCGTTACCCACCCTCTCAAGTTCCATTCTGTTTGTACATTTGTCATGTGGTGATGGGGGGTTTAGAAGAGGTTCCGTGTTCAAGTTAAGATAATCAATGGTAATAGAGTAATAGAGTAATAGAGATGTGTGCTTGAGGCATCTTCATGGGTACAGTCATGTGTGTGTATATGTGTGTTATAAGGTAATAAGAGGGTAATAAAG